GGACCCCAAACGCCTCAACACAACTGAGGTTTGGGGTTTAGTGTTTAGGGTTGAGGGTTTAGGGATTATGGTTTAGGGTTTAGGGTTTAGGGTACCCTGGACCCCCTGAAGCCCTACTATAGAAACCCTAAGTCCCCAAAACATTCCCAAAACGTACACCCCCTAAGCGCTCCACCTGGCGGGCGGCCCGTTTCCGTCCTGAAGAAAGAGCCCACGATGGCACCTCCCTGGGGTTTAGGGTTTAGGGTACAGGGTGTAGGGTTTAGGGTTTAGGGTGTAGGGTTTCGGGTTCAGGGTTTAGGGTGTAGGGTTTCGGGTTCAGGGTTTAGGGTTGAGGGCTGTGGGTTGACAAACGGAGATCAGACCGGACTTAACCAGGGCGATGGCCGCTCTAACCTAAGACCTAAGACCCTCGCCTCTGATTCCCTTCGTTAAATTTCTGTTCCCTTAGTACTCCCTTAGGGCTTAGTAAAGGTGTCAAGGCTTATGCTTTTAAGGGTTCAGGGGCGTACTATACTGGCACCAGATTCTTCTGAAGCCCAAGGCCCAAGACCCTGAACCCTAAACCAAGAAACAACCCAAACCCTAACTCTCCCGACCACCGAAGCCCAAAAAACCGCAAACCTTAAACCCAGGGGTGTGAGAAGAGGCTACCTATGCCGAGTTCTCCCTCGCTCATAATTCGTCGACGCCAAGTTAGGGGTCGTGGCCCGCAGGAGGCTACACAGGCGTTAGAACATCTGAAATTTAGGGTAGATGCCCCGAGTACTCCTTCATGAGGGCCCTGATGAAGGAGGTACATAGGATGGTAGCGGGTTTAGGGTTTAGGGTTTAGGGTTTAGGGTTTAGGGTTTAGGGTTTAGGGACACTCCCAGGCCCCATTTGAAGGACTCTTCTCAAAGTTCTTGAGCCCGGAGTTGCACTTGAGGCCCCAAAAGAACCGAAACCCGAAACCCTCAACAGCCCCAAGCCCAGACCCAAAACCCCAAAACCCTAAACCCTAAAACCTAAACCCCACTCCCTAAACCCCAAACCCTAAGCCCCAAGCCCTAAACCCTAAACCCTAAACCCTAAAGCCTAAACCCTAAACCCTAAACCCTAAACCCTAAACCCTAAACCCTAAACCCTAAACCCTAAACCCCACTCCCTAAACCCAAGCCCTAAGCCCCAAGCCCTAAGCCCCAAACCCTAAACCCGAAAAAAGCCTTTGCCAGCTGTGGACGACGGCCCCGCTTCAGTCGCCTGTGATTGCAGCACCTTTTTTCTCCCCATCTGGGAGCCCCGTGGTTGTTCTTACAGGGTTTAGGGTTTAGGGTTTTGGGTTTAGGGTTTAGGGTTTAGGGTTTAGGGCTAGGGTTGAGGCTTTAGGGTTCAGGGGTTGTTTAGGGAGGACTTGGAGAGGGGGGGGGGGGGAATGAGGGTTTTATTTCTTAGTTTTCTTGGTTTAGTGTTCGGGTGCTTTAGGGAGACCTTTCGCCGTTTTCTAAGGAAAATACTCTCGCGGCTTAGGCATACCTAGTTCTTCACCTTGTGGTTGCATGATAGGGTGTTTCGGGCTTCGGGCTTCAGGGCTCTACAATTGGCCTGAGTCCCTGAACGCCATGAGGGTCAGTCCTACGGGGTTTAGGGTTTAGTGTTTAGGGTTTAGGGCTACGGGGGGCTCCCAAGCTATCGCTTCATGCCAGATGGCATTGTGCAACGGCCCACGCCCATCAGCACATGGACCTTCATCGCTTTGCCGCGCCGCCACGTGCAACACAAAACAGGGTTTAGGGTGTAGGGTGTAGGGTTTAGGGTTTAGGGTTTAGGGTTTAGGTTTAGGGTTTCGGGCCGTTTCGGGTCTAGGGTTTAGGGTTTTGGGAGGGCGGTCGGGAAGACGAGAGTGTACTGTAGACTGTACCGTGTACTAAATGAGCCTACTACTAAGGCTCTCCATCTATCAAGCTTCATAACACCTAAGACGAGCCCAAAACATCCTAAATGAAAACAAGAGCCCTCAGTTGTCCGGTCTCCATCTTAGGATTCGGACAACAGCGCTGGGAGCTCGCCTTTGTCATCATGTGGGGTTTGTTTGGTTTCGTGTTTAAGGGTTAGGGGTTTCCGGTTTAGGGGTTAGGGGAAAAGGGTTAGGGTATAGGGTTCGGGGTTTAAGGGTTTTGTGGTAGGATCCACCCATGCGCCGCAGAAGGAGGGAAGGCTGAGGGGTCTGGGGCCTGGGGTTTAGGGCTCAGGGCTTAGGTAGGGTTTAGGGTTGAGGGTTTGGGGTTTTGGGTTTAGGGTTTAGGGTTTAGGGTCTAGGGGTCAAGAACATTTGAGTGGCAAGCCGCCTTTGCTGGCTCAAACGGCTTGAGCCCAGGCTGCGAGGGCAGCTTGGTTATGGTCTAGGGCCTCTGGGGTTTAGGGTTTAGGGTTTAGGGTTTAGGGTTTAGGGTGTAGGGTTTAGGGCTTAGGGTTAGGGTTTGGGGTTTAGGCTTTGGCGTTTCGGATTTAGGGTTTGGGCGCGTTCTGGACCAGCACAAACCCGTCCAGCCCTACAGTGTGCAAACCAACTTTGGGGTTTAGTCTGTAGGGTTCAGGGCTTTAGGGCTTTAGGGCTTTAGGGCTTTAGGGCTTTAGGGCTTTAGGGCTTTAGGGCTTTAGGGCTTTAGGGGTTTATAAGGCTTTAGGGGTTTAGAGCTTTAGGGGTTTGGGGCTTTAGGATTTTAGGGGTTTAGGGTCTCAACGCAAAATCCCTCTGTGTCTTACCCTTTAACCGAAGATGCCTGAACCCTAAACCCCAAACCCCCAAACCCTAAACCCCCAAACCCTAAACCCTAAACCCCAAACCCTAAACCCGAAACCCTAAACCCCAAACCCTAAACCCCAAACCCTAAACCCCAAACCCTAAGCCCCCAAACCCTAAGCCCCCAAACCCTAAGCCCTAATCCCATTCCCGATCTTCTGGGATGCAGCCGGAGCGAATGGAGCCGGCCTTGGCCTGGGAGGCGGGCCTTCTCGTGCTGAGCTCTTGAAGCCACAAACCTTGAGATGTTCCCCGTTGCACTAACAGTCCTTAATAGAGATTATAATAAGGGGGGTTACTATAATCCCTTATTATCGACTGTTAGTAGAAGGGGGAGCATCCCAAAACCCTACTTCCTAAACATTCTAAACCCAACCTGGAGCTCCATAGGCCTACCTTTTTTTGTGGGGGGGTGGGGGGCGGTGGGCTATACCCTACATTACGGGGGGGGGGGGGGGGGGGGGGTGCATGAGCTACTAACTTGCAGCGTTTTGGAGTCATAGGAAGACCCCTAGACGGTTTTGGGGAAACCCTAAAAAACCCTAAGCCTTGAGCCTAAACCTTAAACACCAAACACCCTGAACCCTAAACCCTAAACCGACCCTAAACGTAAAACCCGAAAACCCTAAATTTAAGAGCCTCCGGCTCAAGCCCCCGCCGGAGCATTGTTCAGGGCTGAAGCGGCGCAGCATGCCCCGGCGCCAAACCCTAAACCCAAACCCGACCCTAAACCCTACAGCCGAAACCCTAAACCCGACAGCCTAAACCCTAAAGCCGAACCCTAAACCCCAAAGTAAAGCCTAAACCGAAACCGGAACCCTAAACCCCGAAAGCCTAAACCGAGGATTGGGAGAGGGGGGAAGGGGGGGGAGGGGGGGGCGAGGGAGGGGGAGGGGGGAGGGGGGGGGGGGGGGGGGGGGGGGGGGGAGGGGGGAGGGGGAGGAAAAAACCCCTATGCCCTGTGCGAAACCGCCTATGGTCCATGAGTACAAGCGGTGTGGGTGGCCTGGCCCTCCACGGAAAAGCTGCCCGGGTACCCCCCCTGATCCCCCCCCCCTCCCCCGCGTTTTAGGGGGGTAAGGAGGGAAAAAGGGAGGTTTTCACCTCCAGAAACCTATCCAACACGCCGCCAGGGTCGGCGGACCCTAAACCCTAAACCCTAAACCCTAAACCCTAAACCCTAAACCCTAAACCCTAAACCCTAAACCCTAAACCCTAAACCCTAACCCCTAACCCCTAACCCCTAACCCCTAACCCCTAACCCTAAACCCTACCCTAAACCCTAAACCCTAAACCCTAAACCCTAAACCCTAAACCCTAAACCCTAAACCCTAAACCCTAAACCCTAAACCCTACCTGCTAAACCTATTCCGTGTAAAAGACCATGTAAAGGTGAAATGATTGATCATTTGACCAGATCTAGCTGAATACGTATGAATAGGCATTCGGAAGCAATCGGAAGCGTTCAGAAGAAGCGTCGCCCACTGCTGTGGCTCATCAGCTGGCTCTACAATGTGTGTGTATATATATATATCCATATTGTATGTGTGTGTACTGTATCTATGTATGTATATATAAGATAATAATACTAATAGTAATAAGAAGAAGAATCATAAGAATAAGAATAATAATAAAAATAATATGTATATATATATATATATATTGGAATAAATCTATATAGACACAGATACATACATAATAAGAATATATATATATATATTAATATTTATATTCATATACATATATATATATACACAACTATGTAAGAATCAAGGGAAGGAGAGAGCGAGAGAGGGGAGAGAGAGACGGACAGACAGAGAGACAGAGCGCAGGCTGAAGTATGTAGGGGGTGATAGCACTCTGAAGTCATCTTGGTACCCCGATGGGCCCAGGCCTGTTCCATGTCAGAAACTTTGCCCGGCCTTGCAACACGCATGCCCTCTACTTGTGTAAGCCCAAGACCTCAGGTCGTGCAAGAAGGGTTTCGAGACCTCCGATTTGTTGTTGTAGGGATGTGCCTGGCGCTGGCAGTGGGGCTGCTCTTCGCGTCTGCCTGGCTTGCTTCTGCTACAGACATGTGTGCCTCGGTGGCCTGTTTTGTTGGGATCTTGTTTGCCGTCACTGTCGAAAGCTGCAGCTGCTTGTTCCATGTTACAAGTTGGAAATCGCCGTTGGCTAAAGAGCATTTTGCTTAGTCTTGGCGTCTTCCATCAAAGCGATGGCCGAAGAAGCTGCAGCAGAAGTGGCAAAGGACAAGAAAGTAGGACGTTGCAGAGTTGGGAACTATGCTTTAGATGGCCTGTCGGTGGCCTGGGAGAACACTCAACAGATCAGGCAACGTTTGCGTGCCAAACAAGCTTTGCTTCTGCAACACGATATGAAGCTTGAGGTGGATGTGGCCCCTGCGACCGGTCATGTCTGCAAGTCCATTTCGAATTTGCGGACCAACCGCTGTGTTCTCACGCCAGTGTTGCACCTCATGAGGCAGCATGCCCTTCTGCTGCCCAACCTTGACAGGCTCATAGACCAGATTCGACAGTTGTATGAGGAAAACAGAGTCCAGGTAAAGAATCCAGGGGACGTCTATTACCACAATGCTTGGTCAATTCGTGGATTGACCAGCCTGCTCAAGGGAGAACTGGCCCGGGTAACAGCAGAGGTTCAGCAAGGAAAGTACTCGCGCAAGGACAGTAGTCGCCTAAACATAACTGGGATACAGCCACTAAAACAAAAACTTTCCGAAGCAGTGGCTTTTGTTTAAGGCCCTGTATAGTTCACGCCCTGTAGATAATTGGCGTGCCTTGCAAGGACCAAGCACTTATGGAGTTGCTCTTGGACGTTGGTTTCATGGAGCCTGATCAGGCGAGTCCCGGGGACAGATGTTTGCACCGCTCGACCGAAAATTTGCAAATCGTAACTGAAAGGGCGAGGCAATTGTTTTCCATGCGTTTTGTTTGCCCTGTGTGACTATCCTTGCTGCGAAACGTTTTTGCGGACCTTGCAGGCGGACGGCAACGATGATGGCCGAGCTGTTCCAGAACCGGAGGTGCCCGGGCACGATTAGTTTGGCCAAGGGGGTTTGTGCTTCAGGTTTATGTGTTGTCAGTTTTGGGGGAGCAAGGGGGGCATGATCCGCGCAGCATCGACCTCATTCTTTGAAGTCAGGGCGTGCAACCCTTGAAGCGTCTTCCCGTGAACTGCTTGTTTTCCAGAGATGCGGCGACGCTTATAGGGAACAACGTGTTGCCAAACAAATCATTGTAGAATAGGTTTTTAAGGTGAAGCCCATCGAAGCCCCGCTCGATTCTTGACAGGTGCCGACGTCGAAGGCGACAGAGTCGGAGGCCGTGCCTGCGAAGGACATTGAGGCCGTGGAGGCTTTGCAGGGTACACAACCTTAACTTTTCTGTCGCTTCGACAATGTACCAGTGTGTGATGGGGGGACCTTATACGAATTCCGGTCAGCACATCCCTCAACTTGCATGTTGCTTTCACCGGATTGTTTTGCTGGAGGCTTCCAAGTTGGACTCCAGTGCCAGCGGCACAGGGTCTCATCAAGATGCTTCCGATCAGGATTGTGATAGATTTGGCTGTGATTTCGAGTTCAAACCGTGCGTAGCTCCCTGCGCAGCGTGCCGCAGGCTATGGGGCCTGCTGGGGACGTTGATCTGGAGGAGTATAAATACATAAATACATATAAATACAAATATAAAAAATAAATAAATACATATATATATATATAATTATATATATATGTATATTGTATATACATATAGATAGATAGATAGATAGAAAAGTTTTTTAGGGAATGTATATATATATATATGTATATATATATATATACACACTGTATTAGGGTTTATAGGGTTTATAATAGGGTTTAGGGCTTATAGAGGGTTTAGGGTTTATAAGGGTTAAGGGTTTAGGTATAGGGTTTAGGGTTTAGGGTTTAGGGTTTAGGGTTTATAAATAGGGTTTAGGGTTTTAGGGTTTAGGGTTTAGGGTTTAGGGTTTACCTGCTAAACCTGTTACATGAAAAACATTGCGGAAATCAGGAATTATTACTAATTGCGGGGCCCGATCGCTATAGATTGCGTACGATCGCTTTCGAACGCAAAAGACTACGTGAGTAGGCTTTCTCTTCTAAACAAAACGACAGCGCTGCACCTCCCCAAAAGACATGCAGTACTGTGTGAAACACGTCTCATAGGAAGTCTTTTTCCCCTCATGAGTGAGCAAGCTCATGATGATCCCCGGTGAGGCCTTGATTGGCCTCTGTGCAACTCGCCCCATCAGGCCTTCGTTGGCCTTTGCCAAACTAACAGGGTCTGGGACAGGTAACGCTCGAGAGCTCGTCGGCCTCGTAAACGCGGTGAAACCCGTCGGGTCAAAATGCAAAATCTTCCTATTAGATCTTCGTCAACGCTACAGCTCTCTGCTAGTGGGTTCATGACCCAGTCATGTTGACTGGCTTGGTCGCACATGTAGTCAACCAAATGCCAGAACATATGCACCTTAGGGATGTAGGTAAATCTGGTGTTCCCTCTCAAGAAACTCAAAAGCGAGAGCCTGGCGAACCCCGCCAAAAAGTGACGGCCGGCTGCGTTGATTTTCATGGCATCGGCCTTGGCAATGAAGATGTCACTGTGGTAGAGGGACTGCATCCAGAAGTTCAAAGCTCTGCTGCAAGAGGCCTTAAAGGAGGCCAAATGGCAGCTGACAAAGCCAAAGACATAAAGCACGCTTTCAACTCACAGCTTTCAACATGGCTGCAAAATCGACAAGCCAACATTTATGAGGGCTTAAGTTCGTTGAAACGAGACACAATGAGGCTGAGCATCTCATCCTCAGACCCTTCCAGACTTCTGACTTTCGTGAAATGTTCGATGAAAAGGCATAGCGAAGTGGAAAGAGCACCTTTGTTCCACGAGCCATCTGGGGCAGAAGTTTTCCACCCCAGCAGGGCCTTGTCGATTTTGTTAACGTAGTTGGTCTTGCCGTTTGCCTTGGCAAGAACTTGTGGGCGCAAGGCTCATGATGGCACATTGAAATTGTTAACCCTGCACCTCTAAGAATCCAAGGGGCTTTGCAGTACTCCAAGTAGTATGCAGTCAAATCCGCCAATCGGTCCTCAATCGAGCTTCCGTGACACAGCGCAGAAAGGTAGACCAAGCTTGAGGCGCCAAAAACCTTGGCCACTCCCAAATTGATGGTGTGAAACGCATCAATTTTGAAGAAGGCCGCCTTGCGGGTTACCTGGTGCATAAGCTTTGTGATGAACAACGGCTCTTGGTTCCAAGGTAACTCTTGGTCCATGGTTCGCTTGTAAGCAGGACAGGCCGACCTTAAAGGGAGAGTTAAAACAAACAGTAATCCCTGCAACAAATCTACGTTACAAAATGAAGAAGCAAAAGGGGTACCCCAAAGTAAGGCCAGCAGCAGATCTTCGAAGTCAAACCCGTCACTTCCTGCCAAGCATAGGTGGCAGATGCCCTGCGAAGGTTGCTTCGATGTTTCCCCCTTGGCACAGCGCCTGTAACTTCTTGTGAAATGTCCGCTCGAAGCCTTATGTAGCCGAACGTAGCTCTGTTCGAAAACACTCTTCGCTTTCGGGAATTCAACAATTTCAACAAGCAGTTTGAAAACTTGTACAAAAGTCCATGCAGGCACCAGGTAGGACCAATCCCCTTTGTTCCCCAAGGGAATCAGGTGGAGACGAATCCCAGATCGCATCAGCACACCTTCGCGGCTAGCTGTATTGACGTCATCCAGAATCAGCTCCAAGAGTTGCTGCACGGCCGAGGGATAATCCTCGTGGTCATCCTTGCAGGGGCAGCGTTTTGTTGCGCAGGGCTAGGGCAGCTTTTTGTATACAATTATGCAACCCCCCCCCCCCCCCCCCCTCCAAATTTATAAGCCCTCGATCCTGAAAGCCCCATGTCCTTAAAAAGAGTGCCCATCACGAAGCGTGTTTTGAAACAGTGCCCCTTGAAGTTCATTCGCAGACGGCTCTGGTCAATGACATCGCCATCTTTCTGACAGGCAACACCTTTGCCAATAGGACAGCAGAACGACAGCACTAATGCCCCGTCTTTCTTGAAGGTGGTACCTTCATCCCCGTGAACATAGATGGGGACGCATTGGCGTAGTGGGATATCGGCTTTGAAGACTTGATGATCACCGTGTGACAAAGCGTATTTCGCCCAGAAATTTTCCAAGCCCGAGGAAGCCTCCTGCAAGGTAGAGCAGCCCAGCCCCAAAAGATAGTCCAAAGCATGCTCTTCATCCAGTTTCCGGACCCACGAAGTTGCCTTGATGTACGGGTAGCGCATATCCCTATCCACTTGGCCTGAAGACATTGTAATGTCTAGTCGTAAAGCATACTTTGCAAAGACCTTGGCGACCACATCTTCCTGAGCAGCTGTGGCTCGGACTAGACTGGACACCTTCTAGATGGTTTCTTACGAAGTAGAAGCTAAATCGTAAGCCTCACAAATCACAAAGAATTCTCGGTGACAACCGAAGCTCGGAATGACCAGGGCTGGTTTTGTACAGGGCTTTGATGACAGGGCAAATGCCATCGATCTTGTTGTCCAACCCGTTACGAAGGTCGTAGTCCATGATGGTGTTTGCACTCTCGATGATTCTAGTGCAGGCCACCTCAATCATAGTTCCGTTCCCTTTGCCCAACCCTCGGCCCATCCTAACTGGCATGGCTGCTTGCGGCCGGCGCGCTCCAGTTGCATAGTCCCAAGCCAGCTTTCTGGCAGCTTCGGAGACACCTGGCGTAACAATGGGTCATGTAGAGGGGTAAGCCCGCTGCAAGAGTCTGATGAGGCAGCATGGCATTGAGACAGCGTCGTTTTCTTGCAGCGTACTCCCTTTTAAAGCTTCGGTGTGAAAAGAGGCATGGCTGCCCGGAACAGGATTTACGACACATGCTGGGAATCCAACGTGTCAGGCTGTTTCTTGTGCTATCGGGCCAAGCAGTCAGTCTAAGAAGTTAACCGAAGGCCAAGCGGTATCTAGAGTAGATTGCGCTTGACTGTTGCCCGACAGCCAAAAGCATGTCAAAATTAGAGAACGAGTTCTCCCCACAAACTGAGCTCAGGGCCCCTTCAGATCTAGCATAGCTGCCACAAGCCCAAAACAAAGTAGCTATAAGAACCATAGCCCTCAACCTGCCCTTCCAGAAGCCTTCTCAGCGCCCCTTCTTAGGTGCTGCCTTCGCCTTTTTGGCGGGCTTCTTCGGCGACGGCTTCGTCCTTTCATTCGGTGTACGCTTGTTGCCCGGCCCAGCTGGCACGTTCTTCGCGCTGCACACAGCCAGCCTTGTATGCACCCGGGGCCTCCCCAAGCCCAAGCCCTATTTTACCCGGTTTCAACCAAATTAGGGTTTAGGGTTTAGGGTTTAGGGTTTATAAGGTTTAGGGTTTAGGGTTTAGGGTTTAGGATATAAACCCTATAAACCCTATAAACCCTATACACCCTATAAACCCTAAACCCTGATAAACCGTATAGGCCCTGTTCTATAAACCCTATAAAAAAAGTCATAAGCCCGAAACCCTATAGAACCCAGGCTGATGAGCAGGAGAGAAACTTCACTCGGGACTCAATCGCAATAAGTTCGGCACACCTGAGATGCCAATGTGCAGAAAGGGTTCTCAAGTTGCATGGCTTCCACAGTATGCTTGCAGCACGGCTGTCTAGAATTGGACGTAGGAACGGTTTCAGCGAAAGTTCCTTGATGGCGTCAATCTTTGCCCGGAACCTTGCGTGATCTAGGGTCAAGAACTGATCGATGCAAACGACGTAAACACTACCAAGCTACTCTTTGCCCTTCTCTGAATCCATGTCCTCCTCTTCGGGAGACAACATAGTCAAGGACGCCTTGATGTCGGAGAGTTTGCGGTAACAGTCCGTAAGATGTGTGTCCATCGACTGCAGCTCCTTCTGAAGCCTTGCGCAAGTTTAGGGTTTGCACAGGGTTTACAGGGTTTAGGGCTTTTTGGCTTAGGGTTTATATAGGGGTTTATAAGATCGGGTACATATATATATAGGGTTTAGAGGTTTAAGGAGCGACTGTGATCGCCTTAAGACAGACAATCAGAAGATCAAATGGTAAACGTCACTCTTCAACCCTGGCAACACCCTCGCACATCCCGGCTATCATGAGCCCTACATAGGAGATCCTTCGACAAATCCTGACGCATCTCAGGTTTCCTTCCGAGTGGCTCCTGGCTGACATCCCCGCTGATCGGCTTCAGCTGCCCGATGAACTTATGCACTTGCACACTGCGGTTGTGCACGCTCTCCATGAACTTGGTCAGGTCCGGGAGCACCTATTCAGAACTCAGATCGGGCGTGCAAGCGCGCATGAGTTGAAACCATGGCAAAAGTTGTCTTTGAAATATTTCCGAAAATACACCGCCCCCCCCCCCCCCCCCCACCATCCACCCCCCAATCCCCCAACCAACCCCTCCCCCTCCCCTGCCCCGACCTCACCTTGTCCCCCATCCTCTCAGGCAGCGGGGTTTCGTTCTTCTCATCCTGCCAGTCCAGCGCCAGCTGTGGCACCGTGATCTCCGGCGGGGCCTCCTTCGAAACACGATAGGCATGGTGCACTTTACCTGACAAGAATTACACAACAATGTGTTAGAGTCATGTGAAGCGACAATCACTCCTCGACCTTCTCATCAATCTCCTTCACCCTAGTAGACTCCGCCTGTCGGACGATGGCCTTTGTCTGCGTCTCCACAAAAAACTCGCTGATAGAAGCGTTGTATTTCCATTTCCTGCCCAGGATCAGAAATGGGGCTCCGTGAGAGGCTTGGGCCTGTACATAGTGAGAGGAAAACACATGGTGCCGGCCTGATGAGTGTCTGCGGAAAGCGCTTGCAATACGTAATGATGGAACGGATGGAAGACCTTCAGATCCCCAGCAACAAGGCTGTCACTTATAGGCGGCATGTTGAAGTAATAACAAATAATAAAAACAAAACGGCTTGTGTTTTGAAGTGAAAGCATATCCTGTGATTTTGCCAGCGGTCGGGGAAAACTCTCCACACTTGTTCATCTTCTCTTCCGTCATCCACTCACCGTGGATTTCCCGCTCCTTGGACTCCATCCGTTCCCGCACCACCACGACCCGACGCTGAAACGCAGCCTTCCGGGAAAGGAGGCAGCTTATTTGGCGAAAAAGTCTTGCGTGGACCATGGAATCAAAGGAGGTCCCGCCTTGACCTTTTTGAAGGCGCCAGGCCCAGTGTCTGAACCCACCTGCTTGATTGCCTCGAGAAGGGCAATCTCGAGCCATTCCCTTTTCTCACCACCAGATGCCCAGTCCTCGTGGACGCTGTCGTCCACGTGGCAAGCACCCTTCGACCCCCTCTTTTGACATAGCCTCTTAAGGCGCATCCGCAATGCGTCAAAACTCAAGACCTGCGCAGGTTTCAGCTGGATGCGCGCGGCGAAATGTAGATAAATGTAGCATTCTAAACACTACGCAAGGGAAATGTTCATGAAATGATTTCTCGTTGCCAAACCCAAACGACTCGAATACCATCGGGAGTGCAGACCACATCCTGCTCAGGACTGGCGTCGTCGGCCCCCTGACAATCGTCATCGTCCTCGGCCTTCTCCTGCTCCTTGGCTGCCTCCAGGGCTGTGCTCAGGGACCTTCGAGTAGCTGGCACGCTCCTCAAATCTTGAACCTCCTTCTGCAACTCTTCGATCTTTGCGATTGCGGCTTTCAACAGCGCTTCTTGCGATGAAGGAGAGAAGTGGTTTGCAGCAAGTGAGGCCGCCTCTGTCTTGGTAGGGGCTGGGGTTACGCCTTTCGTGTCTGCTTGCTGGGTGGGCGGGAGACCAGAACATGGGGTTGCGCCTTCCATGAACGTGTCCTGCGTGGCGGCTGTTGGAACACTGCTCGGGGGTGTCCTTTGCGTGGCTGCTTTCGGAGCAGTGCTGGGGGTAGCACATGTCATGGCTGCTTTCGGACTGGCTTCTGCGGCTGAAACAGTGCCCGGGGTCGCACCTGTCGTGGCTGTCTTGGGATTAGCTTTCGGGCTTGGGGTTGCAGGTTTGGGTGAAGCAGGAGGGGGCACGCTTGCCTTGGCACTGCACGGAGCGCTTGGTGGAATATGGTTGGAAGCTTTGGCTTCGGGGCCTGCGAAGGCCAGGGACTTGGAAGGAGATTTGCAAGGCGGCGACGCTTTGGACTTGCTAGGTGATCCCCCCAACAGCCCTGTCTTTCCAGGTGGGACCCATGGCCTGCCCTGCTGGGGTGTTGCTACAGATATGGCAGGGGCTGCGTTTTTCGGGGGCGAGGCTTTTGGCATCACACCGGTGGCAGCAGTGCTCGATTTAGCAGCCTTACATCAACAGTGTGCGCCACGTATCTATGTAGTACCTTCCTATATGTGCCAACCAGACCTATAAAATAATACGTCAACAGGGATCTCCTATTGACGTATTATTTTATAGGTCTGGTTGGCACGTCCTGGTTCCAACAAAGTGAGAGATGCATGCAGCCTAGAATCCGTGGGCTTGGGTGGGACCACGGGCTCAGCCAAAGAATCGACTTGAGTTTCCGGGAACTCAGATACATCAAAAAACAATTCTTCCACGCAGGTTCCGCATCAGTTGTTTAAATGCAAGCCAAGGGCGTCGGCTGGATCTGCCTTGATCTCTGGCTTCGGCTTCAGGAGGTGCATCGGGGGCTGCTTGGCTCCCTTAGACGGCATGGTGGGAACCAAATAAGTTAACAGGTCTATAGAGGGGTTGAGTTTGTACAGGGTGTGTATATATCATTTTGTTTCGGGTTATGCCGTAGATGTGTATACAAGGGTTTCTTAAAGGTCTAGGGGTACAGGGCGTATATATATATATATAGTTCTATTCTTGGGTTTATTTATGTAGGGCTTATTCAAGCTTAGGGCACCAGGACGTGTCAACCGAACTTGCAAGAAATACATCGTTAGAAGTACCAGAAGCTATTTTTCAGAAAATAATACGTCAACCCTAAACCTTATAAACCCTATATAAACCCTAAACCATATATAAACCCTAAACCCTAACCCTTATATAAACCCTAAACCCATAAACCCATAAACCGTAAACCCTAAACCCGACTCTCGATTGGCACGTCCAGGTGGCGGGTTTAGGCGGCGGGTTTAGTTCGACCTAGAGGCAGCCTTCGCGGCAGCAATGGCAGACTTGGCCTCCTTGCAGCCACAGTCAGCTGTGTCTTGCGTTTACAAAGACAGCAAACTTATTATCCAGCTTGCAAGATTGACTAGTTGAAATCCTGGATCGCTGCCAGCAAGTTTTCACGAGATAAGCTCGAAGGGTCCACACAAAGACTCATCCCAGCCATATCGGCACATAACTTTGCCCCCTTAGCAAGCTCACTGCAACTCCATTGCCGGCTTTGCAGAGGTGTCGGCTTCCTTTGCTCGGCCATGGTGCTCTCTGGCAACACCTTCGATGAGCAGGCCTCCTTCTGTGATCCTATACAGAAATCCGTAGCCACGTATGCTTGTGCAATTGAAGCAGTCAAAAAGCAACAGAAACACACACGCACACGCGCGCCAACGCACCAACATGCAATCACGTGTTGCACGAGCTCCGTCTTTTGCACGCTTGTTCGGCAAATGGAGCCCTGAATTGTTCATCGAATTGACAAGTGCACTGCTTGCAGGCACGTGGGCCTCGCTCGGAGGTATATAGCAATTATGCCTGAAGCTTCTGTGGCCTTCTGGAACCCTAAAATCCCGTACTTTTGTGCCCGATTTTCAGCAAAATCTCCGGAACGCATTCGAACGCTTCCGAACGCTTCCGAACGCATTTTCAATGCTTTTGAACGCATTCGAACGCCTCTATCCGAACGCCGCGCGAACGCCGCGCGAACGCCGCGCGAACGCCGCGCGAACGCCGCGCGAACGCCGCGCGAACGCCGCGCGAACGCCTGGGTGCCACGGAACGCTTTTGAACGCCTTTTCCGAACGCCTTCGAACGCTTTCGAACGCTTTCGAACGCCCAGAACGCTTCCGAACGCCCCCCAGAAAAAACTCCAGTAAATCCCAAGAAAACTTGCAAAAAGGGCCGAAAAATGGTTCCCTGAACCGTTAGAATCGTACTGCAGCCAAGATCAACATCATCAGAACAGCAGGAACCCCGTGGAACGAGCTGTCTGCAAACCAAGATTTGCACAGTCTAGAGGCCAGAGCCCATGAGAAGGTAGCTTCGAAGCGAAAAAAACCAAACAAGCAAGAGCCCACAGGCTTGTGCAGTGCCCTGCTCCTCCCACACGCTCACGTGAAACTACTTTAACTGCGCTGTATCTACTTAGGGGGAACATGTGAAGGAGTCAGCGTGTGTAACGAAGCCTGCTTAATTGTAATCGCGCTCCGTACCTCAGACAGCCCTACTTCTACCGAGGCGTCCGACTGCACGATGCCTTGGGTTGCGGGAGAGTTGTAGGAGGTGTTGGTGTAGGTAGGCGTCCTGCGAGGGAGAGGCTTTGTGAGGCAACGTAGCACTCTGGAAAGAAAATTTCGCCATTCTTCTTTGTAGTCTCTACACTGCTACAGGAAAGACGGACTTCCACTCACACGGCATCATCAAAGATTTGTTGCCACGTAGATACGCGATCACGGGCGCCAACCTTGCCTCATCCCAGTCCGACCACTCCGCTGCAGCAAATACGTCAGGCCCTGGTCTTCGAGCAGCAAGCGACGGCTTTCCGAGGCCGCGTGTCATCAATTGCGGCATCATGCGTACCGTTTGAAGACCGAATCCACTGGGAAACACCCTTAGAGGCACGCTGAATTTGCCCCGGTTTTGCTGTGTAGGGTCTTTCCATTATAATTTTGCAAACAACAAAGAACAGAAGCTGAGGTCTTGACTGTGTCTGCTTCAGTTTGGCTGTACCGTTCCACCTCGTTCTGCCACGAGAGTCCACATATCGCCGAGTGGTTTTGGTTGTCTTGTTCACACGATCTTTGGCGCAGAGTTTGCCCCGGTTGTAGGCTCCAGCAAACTTGTTGTTGGTGAAGGCCTGATGCCTTTTGGCTGTTTCGGATCCGTAGTGCTTCATCCACCAACAAATTCTGTAGACCTTACAGTGCATCGCGCCTACTCCCCGGGCCTGCTTGTGGGTTGGGGGCTGCATGGGCTTCCTATAGTCGCATGTGCACATCTTCGAAATTTTGTTGAAGTCCAAGAACCCTATGAACCAGAAACTGAAACCCGAAACTCCACAGAACAAATATAGGAGGGGGGCGGCAAGTGTACAAAGCATACCGATCATTATTATGGCACACCCGACAGTGTAGGCTCTGGTCGAGGAAAGCATATACTTTTCAGGTAGGTGACAGGGATTTGTCTTTGAAGCCAAACCAGACGATGATAATAGCGCATGAGGCTGGAGCCTGGCTGCTCCACCAGGAATGTGCCGCCCAGGCAGCAGCTGAGTAGACATAAGAGAATCGTCCTGAGGGATCAATCTAAGCCTTTGTCCTCCCATCAGGTATGTCATGCAACATGTTGCGAAGAATACATACTATCTAGCGCAAGTGGCCGCGACGTGAGGCAGTTAGCAGCCGCCACGTATGGAAGATTGACGTTTCCATTGGGATATGCAATCGAGCGTTTGCTGGTTCCGGAGTTTAAGGGGATCCAGCTGCTGCAGACAGGAGCAGCGAGGATGTAGTGGGAGTCGGGTCGCCCCTGCAAAACCAGCCAAACACCAATCCTTATATTTTCACATGCGAAACACATCACATGAGTCGACAAACCGTCTGTGCAATTCAGTGTATCTACGTGTGGTGTACCTGCACCGATACCGAAAAAGAGATTGTTAAACATACAACTGCATGAAGAAGCTGCGCCAGGCCGGCTGCCCCATTGAGGTCCATGGGGTTGTTCGGTCCCCACTCCGCGCCCTTTGCGTACTCAATATCTACAGCAGCTGCCGCATAGATCTTCTTCACAGCCCTAAAAACATTCCCCTCGCCAGCGAAGAATTCTGCATATGACAGCTCCTATCAGTCTTAAATTGTGCAATTTGACCAGGTTTAGACTTGATTGACTTGGCTTGGAGACACATAGGCAGCTCCTGGTTGAAGCAGCCCAGGTTCGAGGAGAAGTACACGAGCACGACCACTGCGACAAACGCCTTGGGCAGGCATGGGCGTGGGACTAGTGGGTCAGGCTTCGGAGTACTCATAACTTTGCTCTCGGATGTTCGGCACGCTCATAGAATAGCGACAAGCAGCCTTGGGGGCACCGATAGCAAACAGCCTCTCCACCAAGTGGTCAAGATTGACCGACGAAAATGCCATGGCAGTATATAGCAACGGTGACTCGGTGACTGACTTCCGTAGGCAAAGACCACACATGTTCATTTGTTGAAGCCTATATATCGGTGCCAGTCCCTGCAGGAAATTGAGTTGAAAGCCATGCGACCCTGCGCCATGACATGTTACGCTCTCGCACAAGACTGTGAAGACTGGCAGCTGCACACACACAGAGTATCAGGATCGAGTGTTCGAGGAAAGCAAAGGCCCCCAAACAGCCAAAGGTGCACATGCCCTATCCAAGGCTTGCGTGAAACTTGTCGGCAGCACTGCTGGTCTTCTGGACGCCGCGAGGTCGGCGATAGTGAGGTAGATGTCGTACCATGAACCTGACACGCGCGGGGAGGGCTTTTTGGACTTCCAGGGTGTGTGTGGAGAGGAGGTAATGAAGCTTGCAGGCAGCGCGACTAGTTATGATGCACTCGAGACATGGTGAAGAGGCAGTTTTTCACGGAAGCCCTTGCACCCTATAGGCAATCTCAGCATGAAGCGGGTCAACCCGCTCGAACAGCAGGCAACTGCAAGAAGTTGCCAGGCCCCTTGAATCAGTACACGATTCACGCTAGCCTGATCCTACCAGAGGCCAGCTTGTATGTCCGAAGCCAGATATGTACATCACATTGCTCGCGTGCGCTGGATTCGGCAGGATCAGGTTCAGACCACGTCAAAAACTGGCTAGGCTCAGTCACATGAACCCAGCAGCATCACTTCCAAGCTTCAAGAGTTTTGTTGTGAAGCTCACTCAGCTCATTCTTCAAACGCTCCAAATGGTCGGAGTGGGGATCGCGAGGGGGCGACAATGCGAGGTATGCTTCAGCCTAGGTCGAGAGCATGCGAAGCCCTGCACAAGAACCATCCGGTGCTCCCAAGATGAAGCGTGAAAAAAGAAACTTAGACCCCAACCCAGTAGTGGCCGAGGGCAGCATTCGTGAGCACACAAGGCGAGGGGCGCGAGAAGTAGGCTACCTGCCGCCAAGCCTGATCCACTGAATCCCTCACCTTGACACCTACTGCACCGCGTGTCCAGTAGATGCTGAGCTGCACGAAGTCAGTTGGAAGGTAAGGAGGCGAATGGTGATGCTTACCGTCGTTGTTCAGTTCCCCCGCTTCCGAACACTCCTCCAAGATCTCACGAATCTTAGCCTGCACAGGGTGCTCATCGGCTGCTGGCGGCACTGCAGCCTTGCACGCTCGGCCAGGCTTGCCCTTGGCCTTTGCTTTGGACTTGGCCAAAGGCTTTGCTTTAGCCTTAGCTAACACCTTCGCTTTGGAGGCTTTTGGGGGCTTACCGGCTTTCTTTGTGGTCTCGGTTGTTTCGGGGACCTCACCAGCCCTCTCCTCCCCGTCATCCATCAAGGCAACACCTCGATGCAAAGCAGGCTTGCTGCTCGAACTTTGCGCCCCTTCCTCCAGTTCCTCCTGCTCTTCCTCTTCATGCTCTTCTTCCTCTTCATCTGCATGGGTCTCCACATCCCTTGACTTGGCTGCGGGTCTCCGCAGCACTTTGTTTTTCCCGGAATTCCTTGGATTCCCCTCCTCCTTCTTGCGCTTCTTCAATCCTAACTGCTCCCGGCGGGTCAAGTACTCACCCGGGTTCTTCACGTCAGGGAATGCCGAAGGTTCCTGGCACAGGGCTTTGGCAAGGGTCTGGCTGGATAAGGAACACAAAAGATCGAGTGCTGGAAAAAACGCAAAAGGGGTGTCACGCAGGCACACTTGGTGAGATGAAGCGAATGGTTATAATTCCTTGATGCATTGCCTCGCGATTGTCTGCAGGAGCTGTAGCTTCCTTGGGTTTGCTCGCTGGTGATTTATTACATGAACTCAATTGCACTCCACTTGTCCGCTGAATCAGCACGCAAAGCCTGACCCATCAACAGCAGGCCTGGCTTGCAGGGCTCGCTGACGTCGCCCCGCCCATGTCCACTGCAACAAAGGTGTCATCAGCGTCCATGGCATATCCTGCTTTGTATCGCATAGGGTTGGTGGGTTGGTTTGGAATTCTGAAAGTGACTTAATAACAAAGGGGGTCCTGAAGGCACTTTTCCGTAGATAGCTGCAGTGGGCACGGAGGTAGCAGTTGCTGACAAAGTTCCAGCTTCGGGTGTCGCAGCTGGCAAGGCACCAGCTTCGGGCGCAGCAGGGGCTTCAGCTTCGGTTGTAGCAGCTGGCAAGGTTCCAGCTCCACTCCTACAGCAGTTAGCTTTCGACAAGAGTTTGACCAACAGCGCTACAGCCTTGCACTGTTGTTGCAAATTTCGGCCAAAGAACATATTTGCCAGTACCAACTGCAAGTTCTGCAGACGTCGAAAGAGATCGTGAGGTGTAGCAGTCTGGGCTTCTTCTTCAGAGGACATGATCTCCTTGAAGCGACATCTGTATGCAAAGTGTGCATCCTGAAAAAACTGCAAAACTCGAGCATGTGGGTGAGAACAAACAGAAAGCGATTGAAGATGAAATGGAGTGATTCTTGTGTTGTTTTGAGGAACTCAGAGAAGCAGCACAAAAGCTACTTTCAAAATTTGGAAGAGACAAAAGGAGAGGAAGTGAGAGAGTGAGTGAGAGTGTGAGAGAGTGAGTCAGTGAGTGAGTGAGAGAATGCGTGGGCGAGATTATGAGTGCAAGAGAGGGAGAGGAAGAGCGAGAGATTACGAGAGGGAGCCGGAGCGAGAGGGCCAAGACCAAGATAAGATGAGACAGATGAGATGGTTTTACGTAACCCTAAACCTTATAAACCCTAAACCCTAAACCCTACCTGCTAAACCTATTCCGTGTAAAAGACCATGTAAAGGTGAAATGATTGATCATTTGACCAGATCTAGCTGAATACGTATGAATAGGCATTCGGAAGCAATCGGAAGCGTTCAGAAGAAGCGTCGCCCACTGCTGTGGCTCATCAGCTGGCTCTACAATGTGTGTGTATATATATATATCCATATTGTATGTGTGTGTACTGTATCTATGTATGTATATATAAGATAATAATACTAATAGTAATAAGAAGAAGAATCATAAGAATAAGAATAATAATAAAAATAATATGTATATATATATATATATATTGGAATAAATCTATATAGACACAGATACATACATAATAAGAATATATATATATATATTAATATTTATATTCATATACATATATATATATACACAACTATGTAAGAATCAAGGGAAGGAGAGAGCGAGAGAGGGGAGAGAGAGACGGACAGACAGAGAGACAGAGCGCAGGCTGAAGTATGTAGGGGGTGATAGCACTCTGAAGTCATCTTGGTACCCCGATGGGCCCAGGCCTGTTCCATGTCAGAAACTTTGCCCGGCCTTGCAACACGCATGCCCTCTACTTGTGTAAGCCCAAGACCTCAGGTCGTGCAAGAAGGGTTTCGAGACCTCCGATTTGTTGTTGTAGGGATGTGCCTGGCGCTGGCAGTGGGGCTGCTCTTCGCGTCTGCCTGGCTTGCTTCTGCTACAGACATGTGTGCCTCGGTGGCCTGTTTTGTTGGGATCTTGTTTGCCGTCACTGTCGAAAGCTGCAGCTGCTTGTTCCATGTTACAAGTTGGAAATCGCCGTTGGCTAAAGAGCATTTTGCTTAGTCTTGGCGTCTTCCATCAAAGCGATGGCCGAAGAAGCTGCAGCAGAAGTGGCAAAGGACAAGAAAGTAGGACGTTGCAGAGTTGGGAACTATGCTTTAGATGGCCTGTCGGTGGCCTGGGAGAACACTCAACAGATCAGGCAACGTTTGCGTGCCAAACAAGCTTTGCTTCTGCAACACGATATGAAGCTTGAGGTGGATGTGGCCCCTGCGACCGGTCATGTCTGCAAGTCCATTTCGAATTTGCGGACCAACCGCTGTGTTCTCACGCCAGTGTTGCACCTCATGAGGCAGCATGCCCTTCTGCTGCCCAACCTTGACAGGCTCATAGACCAGATTCGACAGTTGTATGAGGAAAACAGAGTCCAGGTAAAGAATCCAGGGGACGTCTATTACCACAATGCTTGGTCAATTCGTGGATTGACCAGCCTGCTCAAGGGAGAACTGGCCCGGGTAACAGCAGAGGTTCAGCAAGGAAAGTACTCGCGCAAGGACAGTAGTCGCCTAAACATAACTGGGATACAGCCACTAAAACAAAAACTTTCCGAAGCAGTGGCTTTTGTTTAAGGCCCTGTATAGTTCACGCCCTGTAGATAATTGGCGTGCCTTGCAAGGACCAAGCACTTATGGAGTTGCTCTTGGACGTTGGTTTCATGGAGCCTGATCAGGCGAGTCCCGGGGACAGATGTTTGCACCGCTCGACCGAAAATTTGCAAATCGTAACTGAAAGGGCGAGGCAATTGTTTTCCATGCGTTTTGTTTGCCCTGTGTGACTATCCTTGCTGCGAAACGTTTTTGCGGACCTTGCAGGCGGACGGCAACGATGATGGCCGAGCTGTTCCAGAACCGGAGGTGCCCGGGCACGATTAGTTTGGCCAAGGGGGTTTGTGCTTCAGGTTTATGTGTTGTCAGTTTTGGGGGAGCAAGGGGGGCATGATCCGCGCAGCATCGACCTCATTCTTTGAAGTCAGGGCGTGCAACCCTTGAAGCGTCTTCCCGTGAACTGCTTGTTTTCCAGAGATGCGGCGACGCTTATAGGGAACAACGTGTTGCCAAACAAATCATTGTAGAATAGGTTTTTAAGGTGAAGCCCATCGAAGCCCCGCTCGATTCTTGACAGGTGCCGACGTCGAAGGCGACAGAGTCGGAGGCCGTGCCTGCGAAGGACATTGAGGCCGTGGAGGCTTTGCAGGGTACACAACCTTAACTTTTCTGTCGCTTCGACAATGTACCAGTGTGTGATGGGGGGACCTTATACGAATTCCGGTCAGCACATC